GAAAGAAAAAGATACTGATACAGAAATAGACATAGAAGATGTAAAAGATGGTGACATAGATATCATGGATTATGTAAGGAATTCTCAAATTTAATGATCTTATGTTTAGTGTTATAAAATTTAAATCGAATGTTTATAACTTAGAAGGTTGAGACTACGAATAAAAAGCAAAAACCTAGAAATGGGGAAGGTAACAAGGCGTCATCAAGAACATCAACCTCTGCTCCAAAAAGGGCAAAAACAGTGCCTGATGTTTCAGTTCCTGTAGCTCCTGTTCAAACTACTGGAGGTAACAAACGTTGTGCTTATTGCTTTTGTAAGAGTACTCCTATGTGGAGAAGAGGTCCTGATGGTGCTGGTAAGTTGATATGTGTTATTATAGTACGAAAAAATAAGCGTCCAAAATTTAAGGGTGGTTTAAATTCAGTATAATACATGTACATGTACATGTACATGTGCTAACTCCTATGATAATTCTTTAAAAATTTTTGGTACTTTATCCTGATATATAAATTTCAAACCTATATGTTTATAGGGACTCTTTGCAATGCCTGTGGCGTGAAATGGAAACAAGGAAAGATATTACAGGGTACTAGTGCAAACCGTGCTACTGAAGCCAATGGCGATTCCGCGACTGTTTCACCAAGCCCTAAATCTAGAAAATATTCATTGTCGGCAGCATGCACTTCTGCTACTGCAACTACTACATCAAAAGTTAAGAAGAAGCCCGGACGATCACTTTCAATGAGTGAAGGTGCGTTATCACTTACTGATGATGATGAAAACCGTGATAAGAATCTTGGCAATACTGGAGAAAATTTGAACGCAGAGTCACAAAAGAGTGGTAGTGGTAGAAGGGCATCTGCATCATCAAAGAAAAATAGTTTCAAAGGTTAATGTTTGTCAATATTTTTGGTGATGTGCAATATTATAGTTTTTTAAATCGATTGTGAAAGGACTTTATTTGGATATTCCGATAAGTTCCATTATTATTATAATTACAATGAAACTGTGATAGCTGAGCCTAATCTATCCGTTTTGTAATCAGCAACAACTACCACAGTCTTTGGTGGTGAGATTGCAGCCTCTCCAGGCAAATGTCTTTTTTTCTTTTTTTTCTTATATGAATTAGTGTTGATAAAGTATTTATATATATGACTGTTTAATTAATAAATATCAACGGAATTTTATTATACCATATCACATAATAGACCCAGAATCCTCGGATATTGTATCCAGTCCATCACGATCACCACAGTACCCATCCGCATCTACTGCAATGGGAGGGGTAGGGATGCCAACACCTCGCGCTTCTACTACAGCACCTACGTCAACAACAAATTCTCCAACCACACTAGGAGGTGGTGGTGGATTTCCAATAAATTTGAAATTAAATTCAATCTCGTTTGGTTCATC